CATTAGGTTTATTTACAAAGAAGTTATCAAGGTGCTGCGTTAAGTCTCCAAAAAACTAAACTGCAAGCCATTCACAATTTCTGAAGAGAATTTTGAAGAGATGAAAAACCGAGGGAGCAGGGTCTAGTGAATACAGGTTGGGGGGATACGAAACATCCTGGAAAGTCCGGGAAGGGGGGAACAAAACATCCAATCTATATTCAAATAGTCTTATTCATTGAAATGTAGGGCTGAGGATTGTCATGATGGAAAAGAGTACCACAACGACTCTTAAAATTGCCATTTAGCTAATAGAACCATTGTTCCATATTATGTCATTTTGTGTTTGTATTTCAGATTGTGTTTTTCCATATTTATGTGAGATTTGCTGATAACAGTTTGTAATGTACAATTCTTTAGTAACTCTACGTAGGCAAAGTATTAGTTTTGGGGATGCAGCCCCCTCTCGATTATATACTAAAGGAGGTTCTTTGGGCTTAATCTCACGATGGATACTATAAATATTTGTATGTTATTTTATAGTATCAGCTTCTCAACTCTGGTAGTGAGCCATTTCAGAAGAAAAAAAAAAAAAACATTAGAACATTCTGGTTGATTCTTGAGGAAGTTCTGCATAGCACTTTGACCTGATAATGGCATATTTTCTTGCGAAGTTTATTTTATTTTATTCCAATTTATTTATTTGAAGGATTTCATATTCTTTTAAAGCCCTGAATTTGCAGTCATTAACAAAATTATTGTGCTTTGTGCCAAGTCATGAAAAAGAGTTGTAAATTTTGTGGTCTCAAATCCAGGGATCAGTTTTTGACATTTTTTCATTTCTTCATATCTAGATTGAATCCGCCATGACTATTTTGCTGTGAGCAGCAGACCTTTCTGCAATAATATTTGTGTTGTTTTCCGTAATAACTTCAGTGAATGCTTCATTTTATAGGTATTCTTTAGAGAGTTATCTTTTGCCAGTAGGTTTGATCACACTTTATTAATTCACTATCAACACACTGTATTAATTTCAGGCTTGATCATGTGATCTTTAGCGATGAATCACAATTTAGTCTCGATACTTGATGACCAACCCATACACATGTGGAAACGGCCAGGCCAGTAGTTCGAGCTGGCAATTCTTGAACGGCATACGGCGATTACAAAAGGTGTGACAGTGTGGAGAGGAATTTGTTGAGACACACACATAGTCACCTCTAGTCGTCCTTTAAGGCTTTGTGATGGCTTGCAGTTACGTGGATGACATTTTAATGCCAGTCGTACGGAAGGCAACTGTAGTCATCCCGGTATATTGGCAAATTAACTTTCCAGTTGCAAAGATTGTGACATGATCTTCAGCAGGGGGTCATTGGTGATCTACTTGATGCTACTCCATGTTTCGGCTTGTATAGCTACCAGAGGTGGCCATACTAGTTACTGGTTTGTAACCTTTTCATGTTGTAACTTCTTAATTAAACTATTTTTTGTTTTTTTTTGTTCTGAATTTATAATCATTTGTTTAACTTCTTAATAAAACAATCTCTTGTTCTGAATTTGTAATCATTTGTTTATCTCCTCATATACTGCAAGCATGTTAAGTTTCATGATAGTAGTTCGTTTCCTTCTGGGGTGCATATATTTTTTTGTGACAGAGTATATTTTAGTAATATCTTACATATTCACATCTTTCAATATAGCTAACTAAGCAATGGGATTTTGTCCCATGACCTTGATGTTAAACAATTTTGATACCCAATGATTAATTTATTGAAAATGGATGACATTTTTTAGCATTTGATAAATTTTATGTTATCTGCAGTTCATTTGGCTGATCTTAATGAAGCCAGAAGAGACTTTAGGAAGAGTAAATTTAACATAAATAGTATTATGACATGCAGCACTGGTGTTTCTTGGAATAAATAAACTGAGAAATAAAAGTATCAAAGGCCTGCAGATTAAAGACAAATTTAATAAAGGGTTTATGCAAGTTTCCTAAAGACTGTCTTTAACTTTGCTAGGCAAAATCGCATGCTACATTACAAGTCTGCACTAAACTACAGAAAAGCAGTGCGTGATCTTTAAAGTTTTGTTCTCTACTTTGACTCTTCACTCTAACATGGCATTCTTTACATAAGTGATCTGTTATGTAAAAAATCTTAATGCAGTTTCTAATTCAGAACTTTATAATTTTCAAAATTCTTTTGTCATAAATGAGATATGGTAATTTAATTACAGTCTGTGTAATTTTACCCATTTGTTCTCTAATATCAATTATAATTGTTTCGTTTTTATATCAGACATTTAGGTAAATGCATGCAGAATATAGGTAAGTTAATTGTATAAAATGAGTTTTTTTAAAGTTTTAAAAATTTATTTTGTTTTCATATTTTGTCATGAACAAAATTTACTGTCATCTGAGGCAAAGTTTCCTCACCTTTATTTTCAATCCTTAAAGAGTGTGTATAAATCATCCTGAATTGCTCAAAGCATACATCAGTCATACATAATCAAAGTGTGATTCCATTCATGTGCAGTCTGTACTATTAAGTAATAAAGAATCTGTATGTATATTTGTTCCTCACATTTTGAAAAAACAGTGATACCTAGAGATATCTAATTTTGAACACATTTAGTCCTCCATCAGAACACATTAATAAACTTTTAGTTAACAAACTCAGTGATTGAAAAGAAATATTTTGCCACTCAGTGAAGCGCAGGATATTTGTTTTTCGAGTTTAATTAACAAACTTGCTGATTTAATTGAAATATATTGCTACTCTCCAAAATAAAATCTTTTTATCTTCCATATGTCAGTATGTTACCATTCAGCAAAACATCAGGTACTTAATTTTTCTTTCAGATTTAATTTCTCTGCTACTAATCAGCAATTTAAGCAATTCAAAAGTAACAGACGAAGTTCTTCATTGTTAGTATTAATTTGTTAGCTGGACCCATTAAGTTACACTAGCTGGACTCGATAAAATCGTTTATATATATATTGGCTCATCTGTAGCCAAGCTCTAAAGCTGCTGAATGCTGGTCATTTGACCTGGGCTTGACATCAAATGAACGAGCTGGCTGCAGGTATATTTTTGTGTTTTTCCTAAGGTGACCAGACATCCTGCTTTTGGTGGGACAGTCCCGATTTTTAACAACTTGTCCCACAGCTTTTTAAAAAAATCCCTATTTTTAGGAAGAATGCATGACAAGTTCAGAATATAGTAAAACAAGAACTTAGTTGGAATGTGCAAAAATTATTCGATCATATTACTCAAATTTTCTCATATAGTAATATTTCTGAAAATGATCTTTTTAATTAGACATCATTATTAAAAATATATTGATAATTAAAAGCTTAAATCTTGGACGTCAGGGAAAATCGCAATAGAGAAAAAACAATGGCTTTCAAACAATGGCTTAAACAAACAATAGCTTAAAATGGCTTTCAAAGTCTCACAATTAAGTGTTGAGACTTTGAAAGCCATTTTATGTGTGAAATATAATTTAACAAATTCTTGTGAAAAATGTCATGACCTTTCAAACAACAACAGCAATCTACTAAACAAAAATCACTCAAACGAGAAATATGCCAAAGAATGAAATAATACTGTACATAATTTCTTTTAATTTATTTGTAAATTGTACTTTTGTTGAAATTTTAAAAATATATTGCAATACTATTTTTCTTTCTATGAAAATTTGTGTTGCTCTGTGTAGACCAAATGTTTAATCACTCCCCCGGTCAATGGTGTCCCACTTTACCAATGTTAAAATCTGGTCACCTTAGGTTTTCCCCATGTATAACATGTATAACATGGATACAAGCCAGTTTTCCAAAGTAAAGCTTCCACAAAGGTATCCTTTCTCAGGCAGATATTCTTTATGTATTTTACCATATTAAAAAAACCTAACCTATAATGATTATTTTAGGATGCTGGCCTAGAAAGCAGCCAATAATTAAAAAATGAAAGAAGGGAGGTAATTCTATATCTCTTGTTTTTGTTGGCTAATTGACAAAGTTCATGTTAGATTTGTGTATAGTATTCCTCTAACGTATACATTTTGGTACAAAATTGGACGTTTTCTGAAAAACCAGGACAGTGTTTTCCGTTAACAATGCTATGAATCAAATTATGCCAGGGTAAAACGTTTTTCTCGTTTACTCTGGCAATCATCCGAGCATTTTTTAAAAAAAAAAATCAATGTTTAAAATTTAAACTTAGTAATGCTAATTCAGAAGTCAAACAACAAAAATCAGCGTTACATTTACAAAATTTTCACTGGACTAGTTTCGATGGTTTTACCGAACCACCATCTTCAGCTGCAAAACCGCAAATACGCTGATTTTTGTTGTTTGACTTCTGAATTAGTATTTATTCGGCGTGTTATTGTGTCTTAATTAGTAATGCTAATTGAATTTGATTAATATATTAAATAACATCACTTTTTTAATTTAACTTCTTTGCTTTTTTCTTTTATTATGTAAAATTTAATCCAAATAAATTTGGGCCCCCCTTTTTTTTTCCGCTGATTTCTTTAAAAATTTTTGAATTAAGACCTGTGAAAAGTTTTCGCTTTCTTTTATAGTATTTTTTTAAGCTTGCTTCCAAATTTTTTTATCCAAAGATTTTTAATATACATTTTTTAAATTCAAGAGAGCTTATTTTCATTAAGAGGCTTCCCTTAACCGTGCAGTAATCTTTTTTCCTGAAAATCTGTAAAAATTACTAGTATATCGTTGGTGGGGCAAAGACAAAAATATAAATAAATATTGTAAAGTTTTAATAAAGGGATCCTTAAAATTATCAGACTTCCTGGTTTGTGCCATGGATAAAATGGTCACATTGGTCTGAAATGATAGTAAAATTTGGCACAAAACAACCCTTATACAATTTAATGGCTGTGTTGGGGATCTTCAAAAATTTAAATTTTTATTAGTTATGTATTTAGCTACGTAATATGACATATAAATAATGCTTTAGTGTGTAAAATGTTCAATAAAAAATTTTATTTGATAGGAACTGTATTCTGGAAAAATGGGTGATCAATCTCCATCTTCTCCTGGTTGCTTAGAAAGCCATCATCAAGATATGTTTTGTTCTAGTACAATGTCTGGAGATGGTATTAGTGCTGTAGTAGTTTCAAACTCAGAGGGTAAATCTGGAGACTCTCCAAAGCGTTTGTGCCTGGTGTGTGGTGATATTGCCTCTGGATACCACTATGGTGTTGCTTCTTGTGAAGCCTGTAAAGCATTTTTCAAAAGGACCATTCAAGGTAATGTTTTTGTTTTGCTTTTTCTTAATGCAGTGAAATTTTGTATTTCATTAATACTAAAAATAAAACTGTGTAAATGAAATGCATTTACAATATGAATTTTGTTGATGAAGGGAATATTACTGTTAAAAATATTTGAGCTGCCTTATCTTCCAAACTTCATTTATAGAAAATCTTCCACTTCTTTTCCTTTAACCCTTTTGAGATGATACACCTTTATTTAAGGCATTCCCTCAGTACGAATAGGAGTCAAAAGGAATTTCACAGGATGAGAGGGTTTGGCATCCACAAAGCCTAACTGGTAGGGGGGACCACAAAAAGAATTTACATCCTAATGTCATAATTTTGGTACTATTTTAGATTATTACTTAAGCTATCATATATGTTAAAATTATCATTTAATAATTTTTTACTTTACATGAAAATATATTAAAAAAATTGCTTACTTTGAGAAAGAATTGTCAGAAAAAGCTATTCAAATTATTTTTGCATGTATATTTTAATCAGTTGCAGTTACTATTTTCAGTGCTATTCTTTTTATGTAGACAGTTTATTTTGTTGTCTGTTCATACCTTTAGTCATTATCATAAATTAATTTCTTCCAAATCATATGCTAAAAAGGCTGGGGCGGGTTCGAGTGGGGAGAAATGTATTATTAAATATGGTATAATAAGTTATGTTTAAGTACAGTACAAATTGGATGATGCTTAGTAAGTGATGCTTCATAATTTTCAGGAAACATTGAATACACATGTCCTGCATCTAATGATTGTGAAATCAATAAACGAAGAAGGAAAGCATGTCAGGCTTGTAGGTTTCAGAAATGTTTAAAAATGGGCATGCTGAAAGAAGGTAAATCTATTTTAAAGATATCTGAATGTCAAGCTAGAAAATTAACTAATAATTTAATAATCAAAATCAATTTTAATTGCATTTTTGTTCTTATAAATGTGAAATATGCTGCTTTTAATTTTCTAGGTGTCCGATTAGACAGAGTTCGTGGCGGTAGGCAAAAATACAGACGGTGTCAAGAAAGTCCTTACCAAGTTCATCCAGTACCATGTAAAAAACCTTCATTAGAAGGTAAGCAGTCCATAAAACTGCATATTTTAAATCAAGTTTTCTTTTATATATAAAATAAAGATGCCTTCATGATGATTTCCTTTTTCTCCAACGTAGACTTCCAAAACATATTATTTAGTTTTAAAAATTAGTGTAACGAATATTTTCCTCATATACAGTTAGAAATAATTTTCTTCAATCCTGTTCAAAAATACCTTTAAAAGCTATTATGAAGAGAAATTTTTATTATTTTTCTGATTATTTTGTCTCTAATTGGAAACTTCTGATGAAATGATGTGTTTTATCTGGATTTTGTAATTTTCCCTCCAGAATGCATTTAGAAAACATCTTAAAATCACTCAATCATCTCCAAATTGAACACGAAGCAGTTCCTTGTCAGCCAATATGGTTGTTGTATAATTTAGCATGAAGACAGTTGTTTCTATATATTTTTGTTCTCATAAGGCAGAAGTTTGTAGTAATGAGCACTCGTGACGCTACTTCTTTTAGGGTTTTGAGAAGTGCTTCCCTCAAAGATAAAGGTTCCAAGAAGTCGACAGTAAAATCACACAATCGCATAACAGGATTGCAAAGGCTATTCATGCACAACAGGGAGACTAACAGTACTGCATATGTAACAGTTCTAAATATTCATAGCTTTGTGCTGGGTAAATGCGCATTGTCTGACCACAACCAAAACTGTGCATCAATGGCAGTTCTTCCGAAAACTGGTAAGCAAAACCAGTGCATTGATGCGGGTCTTGAGACTGCAGCTTTTGCACCATCTAGTTCATGTATGAATACCACTCCAAAATGGATCACAGAACCTTTTAAATATTGTATATTAAGGGATAGAAACAATCATGTGACACCTCTCCAAAACTTGCCAAACAATTTCATGAACAAGATGCTTTGTTGACCAACTTCTTGCAGAGTTTCATTTGAAATTTGTTTTTATCTTTGTCCTAACATCCAACTGTCCATTCTTGACAAATTTTGTAATAATCTTTTTCAAGCTATTCTTCTACAAAAGCCCTTTTTGCAAGCTTTTCAGACATTGATATTCTTATAAAATTATTACTACATTTCTGATAAAACAATTTGACCAGTAAAGTGTGGCATTTCTTCCATACGGCAAGGGAGAAAATTGATTTTATAGCATTGATACAGGTATTTTAAAGAGTTCGTAATTGCTTTATGTACTTTCAATGTTGTGTGAAAAGCCTTTTCTAGTATTCAAAATTTGTACTATTATTTTATATTTTATTTATTTTTTCCAGTTTTCTTTTTTTCATGTAACAAATATACCAAGTTTCAACAAAATACATTAGAATAGGCTGTATATTGGTATAAGTAGGGTCTCATTAATTATGTCTGTTCTATATGACATGAAGTATTTGCACTTAATAAATTTTGGTGTATTTATATGAGAAAAAGTTTATATAACAAGAGTCCTTAGCTATTTGTGATTATCAGTCATTCTGTGATAAATGCCTTAATAGTGTGCCATAGAGTGTTCTAATTAAATCTCTATTGATATCAAATGATAATATGAATGCAGTCTAAGCCATCTTGCCATCTAAAATGCCAACTTGCCTGTATATATTTTGGTAATTTTTTCAGGTAAATGCTACCGTCATATATGAGAGTATATGGCATATTTTATATGTATATCCTAGTACATTGTAAATCAGCTCAGTTTTTCATCAGATAGCTAACACTGAAATGTATTCTGCAGAAAAAATTGCTGTTTGCTAAATGTGATTATGTTTCTGGCTGTTATAAAGTGATTGAAAATTAATATCTCTTATTTTTTTTTTTTTAAATATTACTAGAATCTTGAACAAATAACCAATTTACTCACTTACAGAATAAAAAATTCTTTTAATTATTATGAAGAGTTGTTTATCATAAATTTTTGAATAATTAAATTTAATATATACATGTATGTATTTTTAATCATGCTGCAGTAATTTATTAATTGCATTTATAAGTTTGCAGTAATTGTTAATTGCAGTTTATTAATGCAGTAGTTAGCTTGACCTGAACCAATATATTGTTAAAAAATAAATGCAGTTCTTCCTGAAATTGCAATACTAATCCGCATATTTTTATATGATTTATAAATGTACTTAATTTTTAGTTTTTAATTTTCTCAGAAGTGACAAAATTATGTATATTTGAAGATTTTCTCAACATAAGTTTATTTGTTTTATTTATTTATTTATAGAGAATAAAATAATTGCTGCTTTGGTAATGTGTGAACCAGAACCACTCCAAGCACAAGCAAATCCAGCTCTTCCAGAGTCCCATTTCAAAACTATAAGCACATTAAGTGATTTAGTTGACCGTGAGCTTGTTGCAACAATTGGCTGGGCAAAACAGATACCCGGTAAGTTAAAAGTGTTGGTAAACTCTTTTATTTTTTCATCTGCCCGGGGGGAATTGGTAAGCATACTGTAAGTGCATCTAGCTTTGATTATACATTTTGAGAATATTGCTGCATTAAATATCACCTGTAACGCGAACTTCTAAAATTGCTAGGATTATGATGGTTTTTTCTTACTGATGGCAATACAGATATTAAAAGAAAACTATGTAGGTATTCTGTAAATGTAATTTCAATTGAGTTCACTTTCCAGTTTTGGAGGATGCATTATTAGAAAGTTTTGTAGACTTCAAAATTTGTTTTATTCAGTCATTCTTCAGATAATAAAAATGTTGAAGATGGGAGAAACTACACCAATAAACAGAAATCACAGGTAGAAAACAGTGTTAAAAGCTGTTTAATATAGATTGAAAAAGATTAGTGTTTTTTTTTTTTTTTTTAAACTATGTGTAGATATTTTGATAAGTGATGAAGACTATTTTTGTGGTCTTTTTGTCTCTGTAACAGCATGTCTGAAACAAATACATTTTTTTTGGTATTATTACATAGCTGCCAACTCTCCCAATTTTCCATAGTAGGTGGTTTCAGTATAAAACCATCAAAAGAGAAAAGGTTATATTGGGCAAATTCCATCCCCCCCCACTCGCCCTACTTATTTGCAACTTAATTTTTCTTATCAAAATTTTGTTTGATCTGAATTGTCTTAATATTCTCTAAACATTTGTAAAATCTTTTCTGAAGATTAAACCAATATTTAATCGTTAAATATTTATAATTTTGTTTTACTTCAATAAGTAGTGCATTACTTTGTTTATCCACAAAATAGTACTCACATTAATTATGAATTTTATTTTCATCATATTTAAAAGCATTTTGATAAATTAAACTTTTCTTCCCTACTTGGGTTTTACTTACTGTGAAAGTGTATTAAAAAAAAAAAAATACAAAATGAAATTTGCCAAAGAACATAAATTTTAGAATATCTAATCAGAATAATAATTAGTTCAGTAACCTGAATCATGCAATCTGAACTGACAAGTCAAGTCATTTCAGGTTCTTCTGGAATAGTGTCACCACACAGCTTGAAAAGCTCCCTGAAATTCCCAGTTTTCACGCAAGAAACCTCTTGGTTTTTTACATTTCAAAGTTGGCAGTTATGTTTAATAAATAATTTCCTATAGGGGAACTGCTTGAAGTTGTGTAATTTCATGTAACAGCTAAAAAATAACAGCATGTTAAAAATAAGCTTTAATTATAGGGTTTACAGATCTTACTCTAAACGACCAGATGAAGCTTCTACAGACAACATGGGCAGAAATACTTTCTCTGTCCTTGGCATATAGGTATGTATTTTATTTTAGGTAATTCTGTGGTTTATGTACTTCTGGATGTGTTAAAAATTAAATGAATTAAGAAGTATTTGATAGTCAGATTATTATTCATTTTTATAAAACTTCATATTCCTATAAAAAATTCACTGTATGTTCCAAATATTAGTGTTCTGAAAGAGGAAATTGATTAATTTTATGAATAAATAAACTTTAAATCATTCATCATATATATATAATGAATTTTTTATTTATTAACCCCTTGGGTAGGATTTATTTGAGAAAATATTTGCATGTGGAACGGATATAATTTTTGGTTGCGATTCGTCAATAGCTACTTCACTATCAGGAGTATAAAGGTAACAAAATTTATTATTTAGGTAATCCACTATATTTCTAATCTTTCTTATTCTGTCATCTTTATTTTCCTTTTCATTGTCTGTAAAATGTAGAAAGCTTGAAATATCAAAAACCTATTCCGTGGTATAGTGCTGGCAAAAATAGGAGTACTTATTGCATATCTTTCTGACCAATACATATGCATTTTTGGCTTCCTCATTTGCGACATCAAGATGCACAATGCAATATAAGCTTTCATTTCATCTGAACTTACAGGAAACCATCGCTTTTTTTTTTTTTTTTTTTGTTTGTTTTGTTTTGTTACACAACCTTCTTTTTCTATCACTTGTCTGGCATATCTATTCGTCTCTTCTACTGTAGTGTCCCAAAAATCTTCATTCAAGACTTCTTTCAAAACATCTAAAGGCGTAGGATTACCACCTAGTATATGCAGGCTCAAAGGATTAATTCCAGATATTTCAGAAAAATTTTTTATATCTGCTACATTTTCTTCTTCCCAAATCCATTCCTCTGATACTGGTTCCCAAGAAGATTCACTGTCACTGCTTGATAGACGTCTTGTGCGTCTTCCAAACCTTGGTTTTATATTACAATTGTCATAATTTTTCTAGTTCAATATCGTCTTCATCACCTTCGCTTTTCATTTCATTGTAATTGTCAATTTCAGGATCACTAAACAATTCTTCTTTAGATTTCTCAAAGTCACTTTCGCTATCACTATCATAAAATATATTCCATGTTTTTTACATAATGGGGTAGTGTATCGCAAATAATGTTCACCGAAATACTGTAATTGCCTCTTCTATTATGACTGATACAAGCTACAATGAAATGAACAGAATTGTGCCTAACCTCAAATTACGTTTTAGACACATCATTCGTTCCTAGGGAAAACAAGTGAATGACGTCTCTCAGACGTCAAATGTACCCAAGAGTTTAATTTTTGGTTTGACGTCTTAGACACATCATCCGCTCCAAGGGGGGAAAAGTGAATGACGTGTCTCAGATGTCAAATGTACCCAAGGGGTTAATGGATTTTGATACTTACACTTGATTTACATATACTCTCAGAATTTAAATGATATTATGGATTAGTTCACAACAATAATTAATCATTTATTTGTTTGCATTAAATTTCATTTAAATTTATTAACTTTAATTTGCTTTTTACAAATAGAGAATGTTTGTTAAATATATATATATTGATTGAATGATCTAAAATTCGCCGAGTTCGAAAATATATGTATATATTGAGATATATATACAGGGTGTTTCATAGATCATGGGACAAACTTGGGTTATGGAGCATACTAAAACATGTATTTTTGTATAGGAATATAGGGTCTAAAGTGATGGCTTAAGGTAGAAACGCAAAAAACTGACATGAGAGGAAAATGTGTTTATGTACAAAATCAAAGCAAAGTGCTTCTTTGCAGCAATACAGTATTCGCAAAAAATGTTCAAAAAAGGGATCACTAACAGTAATAGGAACTACAGCTGTGATTGGGCTGGCAATGCAGCGATAGAGGGTGGTAGTGAGGCGGAGAAACCACGATCCCTTGCATCAGAGGATCATTCGCAAATCTGATGTCGAGCGTGATGGGTGAGTTTACGCACGGGGAAAAAGCTGACATGCATCTCATGTATGGTGCTGCTAATGGGAACGGCAGAGCAGTGCTACGGTTGTACCAGGAAGGTTTCTGAACAGGCGTATGCCGAAGACACACAATGTTCAAGTGGTTGAATCGGTCTCTGTGTGAAAATGGGTTATTTGAAGCCACCTCTGACACTTAGGAGTAGACACGACAACCTCATATTGAAGAATCCATCTTGAACATTGTGCATGAATCACCTCAGACAAGTACAAGAGCTATTGCACGTCATCTGCAGCTGAGTCATTCCACCGTTTGGAGAGTATTGCATGAAAATGGTTTGCACCCATATCATTTGTAGAGTCCAAGCCTTACAAGAGACAAATTACCCTCTTCGAGTTCATTTCTGTCATTGGTTCTTGCAGCAGTGTGCAGCGCAGGCGGATTTCCCATCGGGTGTGCTATTGCTCCACTGACGAGGCAACTTTTTCACAGGATGGCATCTTCAATAGCCACAACATGCACTTGTGGGCAACTCATTATCCGCATGGCACACGTCCACATGCATTCCAAACCCACTTCTCCATGAATGTGTGGATGGGTATTGTTGATGACTACCTCATAGGCCCATACCTCTTACCTGCACGTACAAATGGCTTATGTTATCATATGTTTCTGCAAGAGGTGCTACCGGAAATGCTGCAGGATACATTCCGTGGCTGTCGCATGACTCGCATGGACGGTTCCAGCATAAAATGATGCACCAGCTTCACCATCAACCACGTGTACGGTAGTATCATTACTATTACTTGGATGGGACGTTTCACGGGCTGATGTAGATTGGCAAAACTTGGTGGAAAAACAATGTTTTGACGGCCAGCTCCTTTCACCATATTTATTCCATCTATTAGAATTTTTTTATTTTTTATTTGATTTATTTTTTATTGGACCATCTGAAGAGCATCATTTTATGAAGGACTCCCGTTGACTCACTGGCAGGACCTCTTTGCACGACTATCCATTGCGGCTGCAAGCGTTCGCGAAATGCCTGCCAAAAATTTTTGCAAATGTCAGTAAAACCTGTTCGTTAACAATCCCTTCTGCTCGTAAGACATTACCAAGGCATGTATTACACAATGCTGGTGGGGCGCCTTTAATCCATTTTGAACATTTATTGTGAGTACTGTATTGCTACGAAGAAGAAGAAGCACTTTGCGTTGATTTTGTACATAAACACATTTTCCTCTCGTGTCGATTTTTTTTTTTTTTTTTTGCGTTACTGTGTGTGTGTTCCTGCTATAACCCGTCACTTTAGACTCTACATTCCTATAAAAAAATGCATGTTTTAGTACGCTGCACCACCCCTCCAAGTTTGTCGTATGATCTATGAAACACCCTGTATGTTGAGTTATTTATGAGTTCCCTCTTTTTTGATACATTCTTACTAATCAATATAATATAATCAATATTTCTTTAGTAAATATGTATTTGTAGAAATTTAATTCAACTTGCTTCCATTATGGAATCTATATAAAGAGGAACCAATTTAGCATATTCAGTATTCATTGATTGTTAAGAAAAATTAGGGGTTGGTAGAAATTGATTTTTGTAAAAATGGTAGGAAATAACTTATTATAATCTGTCAGGAAGCATCAAAATCAGAAGCCTTCAATCTGTGTTCTTCATCTTAATATGCAGTGCTATAGAAAATGCTTAAAACCTAGTTTATTGATAGATGTTAAATAAATTTAAATGTTTAATAACATTGTTTGATCCAGATAAAATACAAGCTATGACTGGGAAGTAGGATAAGTCACTCCTTAAAATTCAATGATAAGATCTATTCTTGCAGTCATATGTGAGAGGTTTTCCCTATCTGAACTAACATTGCAAAATGAATTGACATTTCTTGACAATTTCATATAATAATGTTTAGTATGTGTTATTAATGCAGTGCAAGGTGGAGCTGAAAGTCAATTTGAAGTACTGTTTCAGATTGGGTAACACTAATCCGAAACCCGCAAAGTGCTGAAAATAGAAACAAAAATGCAGTTGTAACTTGGAAGACAGTATTTGAGCAGTTTAAATGTTTCTTTGAAGAGTAGAAAACCTTTTAAGAAGAGCGTCTATGGTAATCGCTGCCACAGTGTAGTCGAGATCAGATTTGAGATGCTGTACATACTCTCTGTATTGCATTAGGGAATAAAAAGTACCATTTTACAAAAATAATTTTTTTTTTTTTTACAGATCACATTTTGCGTGTAGTTTCATGATACATCTTAGATTCCACGAAAAAACACTTTCAGTTCACACAGATTTTGCATGTGCAGTGACACAAGATATAATTACAAAATTAGCTTGCCAAGTACTGCCATCTGTTGAATAAATTAGACTAAAGATGAAATGAAAGGAAAGGAGAAATGAAGAATTGAGAAATGTCCAAATGAAATTAGAATGTTAGATTGTAGCCAATTAAAATTAGAAGCTCATTTCATATTTTTTTAACTTATATATACCAAATATGTAATAAATTGGAAGAGAAAACAAAGACTAAAACAGTTGCAGTATAATGGCCAGTCTAATATTTCTTTATATTCGTCATCAAACATATTTTAAGACAAGGCAGATTAAATGGCACAACTGTTCTTGAAAAATTACATTGGTACCTTTCAGACTTTTGAAATATATCTGAAGCAGCAGGCATTGCAGTAGCAAAGCAGGAAAGAGAATGCAATGCATCTAAGATGAAAACCCAGTTCAGACTGATCTAATTTAATTTCAGTTTACCTTTGTCCCTGTTGGCTGATATTAAATTTTGCTTCCCAAAATTTATTTCAAAGATGGGCTGAAGTCTTATGCAAGTATCTTCATCATTAGCATTATGCAAGAATCATATAACATGAATTAATTTTGGAACCACATAATTCAGAGCAGTTTATTATAAGCAATTACTTTTTTTAGAACAGAAAAAGGAAATAACCAAAGAGGAAACTTAAGAGCACTGTTGCAAATCATATTTAGAATTTTGATTTACGTACATATATAAAATGCAAAGAAGCAAAGTGTTTAAAACTGTTGAAAAAAAAATTGTTAATGTTTATAAATTCAATGTTACTAATATATGTGTTAAGATTTAATAATTTTTTTTAAAAATCAGATAAATCTATCTCTTAGAACTTTGTGAAATAGGACTGATATTTTACTGTCATTAAAACTGACCTGTCCAAGTATTATTTTAGGTATTTATGTCAATAAATGTAAAAAATATTAGAAAGGTGATAATTTCATGTTGTTTAAAACATCCTTCCCCCCATGCTTGGGTGTGGGAGGAGGAATTTTATTTACTAATAATTTTTGGAGAAGTTTATTATTATTATTATTATTATTGTTTTTTTGGGGGGGGAGAAAAGTAGTAACTGTGTGCAGATTGATAGTTGAATTTAACTAGAAAAGTAACATGCTAGTGTAACAGTTAAAACTAAATGAAAAGGCAACACTAAGGCATAGACTTTGAATAAAACTTTGTTGATTTTGAAAATGATCCGATATAAGTGCTCTTCTGGAACAAAAAAATTGTGGAATGTCAACTAGATTTTAAAAAAAAATCCATTTCTTATGTATTCTTTTGTATGAAGAATCCTCAGTCACTATGTTTCTGTGACTTACTTGTTTTATATATTAGAAAGATACATAAATTTGTAAAGTATTGTCACAGTCAATGATCCACTGTACTGGAAAAATGATCGAAATGCAGGTTCTTGATACTGAAAGGCTTGATAAAACTTGGGGGAAGGTAATAATGCCATTGTTCACATCATGCAGTTCAATGTAATATGAATATATGATATTACTGACTACATCTTGATAAACTATACATCAGCACTTTTACTATTTTTGTGGAATAAAAAGGTTTGAATTTATGCATTATAGTACTATAGTTCATGATATTCTTACTTGGGGTACAAAAGGACTGACTACCATCTTTCAGTCACATTTTAGGCCAGTTGTCAGACTACAAATTTATTAGGGTTACAGATATTTTCTTGGGGTGTATAGCATGAAAAATATTGGAATCATTACTGTTGGTTAAGATAATATTGGAATCATTACTGTTGGTTGCTAAGTTAGAATTTTTTTTTTCTCCTTTTCAGATCTTATCAGTCGGCTAGCTCACCGCCAAAATTGATCTTTACATCAGATTTTACAATGGATGAACAACAAGCTGCAGAATGTCAAGCGTCGGAAATATTTTCTCGTTGTATTAGGCTAGTCAAAAGGTTGGATGTATTAAATATAGCAAGAGAAGAATATCTAGCATTAAAAGCACTTTTATTAACTAATGCTGGTAAGAAAGAAATGCCATCAGTGTATTTTTGCCCCATGTTATTTGTATTTTAAACACATTGTTTATTTAGCTGCTTTTAGTTATAATGCATCTCTTGTTTAGATTTAGAAAAATACAAAGTTTATTAAGTAAAAAATACATTTTTGACCCCATAAAATATATAAATATGTAATTCTTTGTAATTTTAATATTTAGTGAAGAGAAATTGTCATGCAGTCATCATAAAATATAGCTTTTATTCATTTTCATGCAGAATAATCAAATCCATATTATAATTTTCTTTATTTTTATAGTGACGTAACATAAGGGAATTTTACAAAGTGTGTTTAAAATTTTTACTCATACATTTGAAATTTTAATTATATTTTACGATTGTCATCTTGTCTTTTTTTTATTTCCCTCGTCCAGTATTCAAGAATTGAGAATTTAAAATTTTGATTTTTATGTGTATCCTGGTTTATAAAGTAATGAATTTTTCATTACATTTCAAAAGAAAAAGTAAAAGTGTAAGATCTTAAGAAAAGTCCAAAAATTTGATTAGTGTAAATTGAAAGTTTATTATATTTTAGAGTCTGTATATGTATGTAACAATATAGAGCTTGTTGACACAGCACAGAATTTATAAATAAACGGTATTGACAGTCATGATCAATTTAACACTTTTTATTGAGCAGGACATTCTTATAATGAATTCTGCCTATGTGCATGTGCATGATCACATGAGTACCTTTTCTACTACATCGTAAAGCAGTTAATTTTTATGGAGAAAGGAGTAGCAGGTGGTAATCAAATTGATAGGAGAGAAACTAGAAAGAGAACATATGAACCCAGTTCAGAATAATTTATATTAGTTATGCTTTGGGTTAATTTTAAATATTGGCTGAAATGTCATTTAAATGTCTGCTCATTAGCATAATGCAAGAATCATATGACATGGGTTAACAATTTTAAGTGTATTATAAACAGGTGCTTTTTTAGGTCAGAAAGGAAAAGTAACCAAATTAAAATTGAGAGTTAACCCTTTCGTGCCTAACGGACACATACGTCCCAAGCAAATTTCAAAAAATGCTTTTGAGATAGAAACACTTCTCTGTCTAATGGGAGACTTTCCCACCAGTCCTGCCAATATTTTTGAAGGTATTTTCATTCACAGAACATAGATGGCACTACCGTACATGATGCAATTACTGTGTTTTTGAAGTGTTGTAGCAGCTCATTCCATACTCTACGAACGTAAATAGTTTAGTTTTGGAAAATACCACCTATTTTCGATTAAATTTTGATTTATCCATAAATCTAAGGCCAGATAAGTTACTCACGAAGCGGATTACCTCTAATAAACTGCTAAGTGGCAAAGTTTTACTTCCGTTTTTATTATCGGGACATATGTGTCCCTCTCATCTTGGATAGTGAGAACACATTGTCCCAACAGTCCTATGTGATCATTTCTCTAGATATTATATTTTTCGGTTACTTTTGAAATAGTTGCTTATTATTTTTAATTTAGGCACATATTAATTCAATCTAAAATGACTCGACGCCGGGGACTTACTAATAAAGAAATCAAAAAAATTTTAGAAGATATTGATTTGGATGGTTAAATAGACGATCCTGATTTTCAAGATCCAACACACAATTTGCAGTACTCATCCGATTCAGACGAGTGTGAAAGGGATATCGATCATACGATTTCCCAAAATACAAAGAACAGCGATGCTTTGAGTAATACTGATACGGCATCACTTTCATCAGTTGATGAGATATCATCAGCTAATGCCTCAGGCTGCAAACCAATCTTATGGTTTTATGCAGATTCAACTTTCCAACCTCGAATGACAATTCCAGCAGAGTCATTGCCTAGTTTGTTATTCAACTTAAATCGTTCAGCTACCGAATTGGACGTGTTTCTTAAGATATTTCCAAAAAGTCTTATGATTTGGATCTCTCAATGCACAAACAACGGCTCGAAAAGTTAGGACAAACAATTCACCCTACAGACCCCTCTGAAATTATGTTTGTCCTTGGATGCATGCTTGTCATGTCTTACAATAGGGTGATTAAATTCTCTCATTATTGGTCATCTAATCCTTCTTTGGGAAACGTAGCAATAAAAAATGCTATTTCAAGAGACAGATGTAAAACGTTGCTGTCAAAACTATATTTTGGTGCGCCAAAAAATGCAAGTAAAACATATTATATTGATGAGGTTGTTTCGTGCCTGAAACAAACCTTCAAACAGTGCTTAAGTGAAAGCTCATATCAAGCTATTGATGAATCAATGGTGAAATTCAAGGGACATTCATCCCTCAAACAATATATGCTGATGAAACCTGTGAAAAGAGTGATAAAAATTTGGCATCGATGTGATTCAAACCAGGATATGTATATGACATGAACATTTATTCTGGAAAAGAAACGGGTGAAGTTCAAGGCACACTCAGGGAATGGGTAGTATCAAAGCTAACGGAGACAAATCCGAGGTAAAGACGTGATACTTGCGTTTGACCGATTTTTTACAAGCGTGCACCTGATGGAAACCCTGAAATTTCCTGCTGTTGGTACGTGCATCAAGACACGCAAAGATGTTCCTAATTTTGAAACAAAACTAAGCAAAAGGGGTGAGGCTGAGTTTCTCGTAACTAAAAATGGAACATTGTGTGCAAGGTGGCTTGATTCAAAGGAAGTGATGATGCTAAGCTAATTGCTAATTGCCACGGAGCTAAATACACAAAAGTAAATCCGCACCATGAAAGATGGAAAGCAAAGAAGAATTTGAGTGCCCTGTGGCAATCGAATTCTACAACAAAACCATGGGAGGTGTAGACCTTGCAGATCAAATGGCAAATGTCTATGAATTAGATCGAAAATCTTGCAAGTGGTGGAAAAAAGTATTTTTTCGCCTATTGATGAGCGCAGTGGTCAACTCATGGATTGCGAACTCAAACATCGAAAAATCCCACTTCTTGATTTCATTGTACCTCTTGCAAAAGCCTTGATGGTGTTCGGAAAGCTCAACGCACAGTATCAACGCCGTAGAGGAACTGGACACCCATCCAAAACATCATGAAGCTTACTCGATGGTGACCATCTGCCAGTAACAGCAAAAACACAACGTCGGTGTCATAAATGTGCATAACAAAAGAAGGAATCGTGCACTAAAATAATGTGCACGATGTGTAATATCGCATTGTGCATTGATTGTTTCAAACCATACCATTCGTAATTAAATTTTTACGACTAGAAAATCATTGGTTTTCTTTACAAAATTACTCATTGAAGACTACTGGGACACATATGTCCCAGCGGTCAGGACTGATGGGACATATATGTCCCGGTTCTAAATCAGTGTTCAAAAATTTTCTAAAAATATAACATCTTAGTTTTTAGCATTCTAGTGTTTAAAAAAGACTCGTCACGAAAGGGTTAAGTGACTATTGCAATTAAATTAGAGTTTAGATTTACAAAGTTTATTATTTTACATGCTTGTACATATTGTGTACATAGTGATGAATTCAGAGTTTTGGGCAGAAACTAAATTATAAGTGTGCATTTATAGTAAGGAAAAAATAAGTTTCTTATCAGAAATATTTAATGACCTAGATGTATGTTTAAATTTTTAAAAGTGCTTAATGAAGAAATTTTGTTCTGAGCTCATGCAAAATTATAAATTGACACAAAAGCATTTCTTTTATAGTTCCTGTTACAAATCTAATCATTAATCATATTTTAAGAGAATTTTTGGATTTGTTTTCTATAAATATGAAGTATTTATATAAATTCAAAATGCTTTCATGTTCTTTAAGATCTCTATTTTTAATAAGGTATGTAAAAATTTTTAGTTTTGACAAAGTTGTTAGAATGAATTCTAATGTTGCATAGTCTTTGAAATGGTATCCTCAAAATTATCAACTGTGCTAACATCAGGATGAGCAAGTCTTCATGAAAGGAGGTATATAGTAACTAGGCAGACTCTGTTTTATTTATTTATTTATTTATTATTTTTTGGTGATGTTTTATTTTCTTAATTGTTCTGATGCTTTTGAAAGTATCAGAAACAAAAATAATCTATATTATACGTAGACATTCATTTTTTTAATGATAGTCTGTGGTTTATGCAACAGTCTTTAGTGTCATCAGTTGGAATAATTTCTGTGAAATGAAAAGAAAATGTACACAAAATATTTATTACCTTAAATCTTTAAATGATTTGGTTTGCTATAAATACTTGATCATTTTCTTTGCTGTTGGACTGTAATGTTTTTGTGTCAATTTTACATTTTTAGCAAAATATCTTTTACGGTTAAACATTTTTTAGTACTATTTCTTGGGTCAGTAAATCTGTATTTTCAATACTTGCCTTATGATGGGATACTTGCTGTAAGGTTGTTATGATATGAACATCTCAGTCATTTGATTTCTTTCATGCAAAATATATCAATCTATAAAATGTTGAAATTATTGGAAATAAAATAATACATGGAAAACTGGTAATATTTCTGTTAATCTGTTCTGTGTGTAAATCCCCCTCCCTTTAACAAAAAAAAAAAAAAAAAAAAAAAAAAAAAAAACTGCTAAATTGTTGCATAAGTAGTCACTTTAATAGTTTCCAATTGTGCATATTATAATATAAATGTTAATTTAGAACTATCTTGTTTTGTGCTTAAAAATTCAGTGTTATTTGAAATGCTGTGCCATATTTTAACATACTAGAATAAAGTAAATAATGACATAAGTGTTTGACATGATTTTCTCGAGTTCCGCGGACAGCATCCAGATGGTAGCCCATTCTTCCCACACTTGCTTGCACATGTCTGGTGTTTACTAAGTTCAGAACATTACCTATTCATGTTCGAAGGTCCTCCAAGTTGTGTGGTAGTGGTGGCACATACATTTGGTCTTTTACAAAGACACACAAGAAAAAGTTATATGGGGTAATGTCTAGTGACCTAGGAGTGTGGAGAAGCAACACTTATTTGTTTCTTCTGGCATGGCAAATCCAATGATTAGGAGAATTTGGTCTCCAAAATTGCACAAAACATATTCACTTTAGCCGAATCTGGCTCATGCTTCATGGTACTGGAAAGGTTTTTGTCTCCCAGATTCACAAATTGTGCCAATTAACTTTCCTGCTGATATGGAATGTTGCCTCATCACTAAATATGAGGTGGGAGGAGTCATTCTCATGTTACATTTGTCCTGCATGCCTTCCATTTGTTGGTTCTTGTCTCTAGGAGGTAAAGCTTGAATCATCTGCAATTTGTAATGTTTCATTTACAGTCATTTTCTCAAAATTGCCACACCTTTACTTGCAGAATTTCCAGTTCATAACTTGCTTCAGTAGTTTATTTCTTTGGGATGCTTAGAAACATTGCTCTTATATTTTCCATTCACTTGCCTTTATAACAACAGCTTGTTTCTTCAAATTGGTGATACCACTTTCAAACACTTTTGTAAGTCAGACTGTCTTTTCCATAGCATCTACGAAGTGTACATTATACCAAAATTACAGATCCGATTTTGCATACTGCAAGATACAAAAAGCCTTCTCTTCCTTTGATGCCATTTTTTGTTTAGCGATTGAGATGCCACCATACCATACATATTCATTAGAGACTGTTTGAGTTTTCCATCCTTTTTAACTCATTCTAGTAAGTCACTGTTTAAAAATTAATTTATTAAGGTCTTTAAAAATACTGTACATTTTGAATATCCCTGTTTATTTATGCACTTCATAAGGTATCTGAAAATCTAAATTTTTGCCCATAGTTTTCTTTTCTTTTCTTTTTTTTTTTTTTTTTCTTTTCAGCAGCTCTGTGTTTGTATTTTTGTATAAAATTTAAAGTATTTGTTAATGGCAGAAATTTTAATCCAATAGATTGCATTTTAAATTATTTTTTATCATTATGTTTGAATTGGTATTGGTTCTGATACTGTAATTAATTTGGGTCCTTAATGCAATTTTAATTATCATTACTATTATAATGTGTGATTTGGTCGTAATTGGTAATTGAGGTTATATTCACATCCTTTCTTTTTTTATTGTAAAGTTTCTATTGCAGTATGATGAGTGAGCCAGATGCCAGGTTTTGTCTTTGCGCTTGTGATGAAGTATAGAAAAGCTACGGGCATTTGACATTATGCATCATTGTTGCATAGGGGATTTAAAAATGTGTCCAAAATTTGTCTGAAAAATTCCTTTCAAGAAGTTGGAGTTGGTAGCAAAGTTTGTACCTTAAAAGTCTAGTTTATTTTTGATTATAAGTCCTTAATTTCGACCAAAATAGGCAGAAGGTCCTTAATTTTAATCATCTGAAATTTCTACCTGTTTTTGTGACTGCGATTTTGAGTGTGAATCAGCATTTTGGAGAAATATTTTGGCAAATATTGAATAGGTTCATGGATTATAATTTGTTCCTATTTCTAACATAAACGGTGAGATACTTCAGTTTCTGGGCAAGAAATGAAACATAAGCATTTCAGAATTACTTCATTATTTCTAATGAAGAGCTCTTAAACAATTTTTCCTTTTGAGGCTGTGAATTCTAATGGTTCCAGATTTGGTGACTTATCAACATTTTGGAAATTTTTAACATAAATTTCTGTAGAAAATTTTTATTCAGATGCTTGGGAATTTTTTGATGATATTTTTAAAAAACATTAGGACATTCATAAATTTCTAAAAAGTAATGGTGATATACTGAAATTATCTTTAAGAAATAACATTTTTCTTAACTTGTTTATCTTCTCTTATTTTCATTTTATTAGACACAAGCCTGGAAATTATCAAAAATGTTTCAAATCTTATTACGGGAAGAGGCATCTATGGAAAGGAATTTTTCTATTAATAAAGAAATTGAAAGCTGACAATTTATAAGATTCATCTTATATGTTTCAGTGCATGAATCATACTAGGCATTTTCCCACCTGATGTAATCTCAGTGCATCGTAAATTCTGCTACCAGTGCCTGTTCTAAATTTTTTATTAAAACAAAATTAGCAACTCCTCCTATAAATTTGAAATGCATGAATTTTTTTTAGAATAATAGAAATCATTTAATTAAATTTTAAAATGAAGTGCTAATGCATTGAAGAAAGAAAATGCATAAAGAGAAAGAAAATAGGCTTCAAATATATGTACAGTTATTATTATGTAATTTAACCAATTGTTTATAATTTCAGCCTTTTCTATAATTTCTACTTTCCATTTCCTTCCCAGAATGAAAATCAGTGAGATAGTATTGAAACTGAGGTTATTTGTAATTATTTGTCTTTGCGTTATTGCTTCCGACATTTGAATTTGTACAACAATAGGGTTACCAAGTCAGCTTAGATTAAAATTAAATTGTGTAGTCTTTGACTACTAGTCCACATTTTTAGTTTGAATTTAGTTGCATCACTACGAGCTGTAGTTGATTTTGTTAGTGTAAGAATGTGCCTTTATGTTCTGTTTAAATAAAAAGATATTTATTTAAAGTTTTATCTGACTTTGTAGTTACTTTCAGACGTAGTGATAATTTGCTTCACGTCTGTCAGGAGTTTGGGACTATTTAACTTTTGCCTGATTAAGTAAAAACTCGTAGGTACATTGTCGAAAGATTGACGGGCTAGGCGATAAAGTAGGAACTAGTAGGAACATTATTTTGCATATTGAAACCAATTTCTAATTGTTAGAAAAGATGCTTATAGAGAAGGAAACTGATATAAATTAGCCAAAATATCTCGGAAGGTTTCAGATTAAAAAGATGCAAAATATTTAGTTGTGTGTTGTTGCTACAAAATAAATGTTTTGTAGTTTTTAATGTGTAATCCTAATATTGTTTAAGAATTTATGCCATTTATTACATGTTTTTTAATCAATGAAATGTTTTTAATAGTGCTTTTTTGGCAAATACTTTTAAAAAATAAATAAATTTAATAGTGGCTGTGTAAATCTGTAATGATTAAGGGTATCTAACTACCTAATTTAATTATTTGAAACTAACTTCTTAACCTTAAATTATCTCTACATGTTTAAAGCAAGTTACTACCTTTCAATAATTGTTAATGTTGTCACAAGATACACCACACAAATGTAAAAATTGATAAAAAAGAAAACTTATTCCTTGCAGCTAGTGCTACTTAATATAATACAAAACAACTCTCCTCACATGCTTTAGTGACTTACTGGAACCTTAAATAACTGGGTTTCAAACCTAAGAATTCTATACAAAGCTGTGCCACTAACTGCATCAGACGGACGTCGTGGCACGCAATGAACTGGAAGTTGCACTGTCAGCACTATCCTCATCTTCAGGGCAGATGTTTTTATTTTATTCGGCTTATAATTCCTTACTAAATGTAGTGTTTCATCTCGATGTACTCCGATATAATTTAAATTAATTTCCTCGTTATTATAAACATCACGAATACACATCAAATAGTTTTCTGGTTGTAATTTTCTAATTTCGACTATGCGTAATGTATGCTTTGTGCATGCGCACATTGAAAGAAAAGTAAACAAATAAAATTAAGCTCCCCCCTTTTTTTTTTGGTAAATTTTGATACCCTTTAGATCACAATTGCTCTTTATTTCATAAATTACGATTTCATATTTTGAATTGTATAATTTCTGCATGCCATCTTACCAGATTTAAACTGATAATCTATAATCCGGAAAAACTGATTATCCGGAATTGCCGAAGTCCGGATTAAAGACTTTTGACTGTACAGAATGAATAATAATTCATTTGGTTAGTAATGCATATTTAAGAACTGTTTCAGATGTCAGTGAAGTGTTTAAAATTTTATTATGATGGCCTTCCTTTTTATTAATAGGATTTTATCTACTTCAGGAAAATCTCAAATCTGTATGGTTTAACTTATTAGGAATATGTAATTATTAACACTGAACTATTAAAACACTAAAATTATAAATTAATTAGCTGGTCTTTGTGGAGTGTGTATAAATTCTATGTTGTTCATTTATATACTCATCTTAATTTTTATTTCTGAACAACAGGATTGAGTGTCAATAAGGTATAAATTGACAATGAAGTTTTCAAAATCTTTTTTAAAAACTTGCCGATGAATTAAGTGTTGACCATACTGTGATAATATGTCATTTATGTGCCGCATTAGCTTTCTGAGGATAAATAAACTGAATCAATTAAATGCATGTTTTCATAATTCATATTTTTATTTTCATATTTAAAATAATTATACAGCATTTTGCATTAAATGTCGATTCATGTTTTTTCTTAAAAAAAAAGCATCTTAACAATAATATGAAGGAAAACATTTCCAGGATTGTGAGACAAACACAAAGCTTCTGGACATTCTGCAGATTCTGCATTTAATTGACAGAAAACTTTAATAAGAATTAGTAGGTTGTGTGTAGTTTAATTCATTATTTCATTTTACCTATTGGTGGAAGCCTACTGGCAGGTAAGTGTTGTTGATATTTTCAGCATATGCATAATAAAATAAATATCAATATTTAGTTATCATAAATAAGTAAAGGCCTGTTCAGTTACAGAAATAATAAAGACCTTGTGTATAAATAAAAATGTAAATAAATAAAAAATGAACCATCAAACGGTTAACATCTGGGTCCTTTCACAAAGGGAAAATATTTTTGTAATGAAGAAGAGATTATCAGCACTTTTGTGAAATCTGAAAACTCGAATGTTTTCTTAATTGTGATTTATGCTGACGTCGGAAGTAATGTTAAATTTTTTTTTTTTTTTTTTTTTTTTTTTTTTATAAACTACAGGTTTGTTTTCTAAAAGATAAACAGATTTTATTTTTTGTTGTATAATCTTAACGTTTCATATGCACTAGCCAAACACTTGTGTTATTTTCACAGTTTATGAATTTATATGTTATTTCTTCTTTTTTAATATATTATTTTTACTTTATTCATTCAGTTCTAATTTTTAAAATTTTTTTTATAGATATTCAGCTTGAAGATTCAAAATCTGTGTACAAACTTCGTGATACTATACTAACTGGACTTACAGACTGTGTTACAATTTTTCGCACTACAAGTTATGTCCAACATCTGAACCAGTTGCTTCTGTGCCTGCCTCTTCTGCGGCAACTTGATGTTGAAGTGCGCCTTTTTTGGAACAACGTACGCAAGGAGGGCAAGGTTCCAATGAACAAATTGTTTGTGGAAATGTTAGAATCTAATGTACCTCTGTGGTAGTTTGCTTATTATGTACCACATGGAATCCAAGATCAACCAACAAGGAGGTCTGCTGGATGAAGATACTGAGTTGCAAAGTGTTGGAATGTGATCAAATCTCATAACAATCAAACAATTGCATCATTTTTAACAATGGGATAAATACTTTAGCTGATAAGAGAGAACCAAATAATAGTTTTTGTAATACTAGAGGCAAAAATATATGTAGGGTTCATTCTATGTCTGTTTTCACAGGTAGTACATTTGCCTTAGTTGCCCTTAAATTCACAAAATGTTGCCTCTTTGTAATTGGTCACTGTACTATAATTGGTACAAATCTATCACAAAAATATAGAATTTGTTACTTGCCAGCTGTACTGGCTGTGTATACCTGGAAAGTAATAGATTTCATAAGCTAAAAAGAGTAACAAATATCCAAATGTGCTACTCAGAGTTCTAAAGCAATAGTAATTATAAAGAAGTGCATAGAAAGAAATAACAAATAAGGTACTCCAGTTTTTACAGATAAGTTTTTCCTCGAAGTATTTATTACTTAGTAGACTATCATATAAAAAGGAAAATTTAATATATTGTTAAGGTATATATGTGTTTATACACGGCATAGGATATTTTGCAAAATTTATTTGCACATCTATGCAACAACTGAAATTATTCTTCATCTATCTATATAGGTATTGTTGATGCTGTTGCTTCATTAACTACAGGATATTTCATGCTAAGATTTGCTCTTCCCCCCAACACTTATCACAAAAATAGTTAAATGCCCCTTTGAAAATAGTTAAATTTCTAAACAAAATATTTGTGAAATTGTTCTAAATGAGATAGACATTAGTAGCCATTTTGAATGGAAATGAAATCCTCTTGTTTTTCACCCTCTCTCTCTCTTTTTTAATGGGCAAGGTAAGAGTATGCCTGTTTAAATCCTAGAATGAACTCAAAAAACTGCCTTTCCCCATTAATAAAAATTTCAGCCTTATTGCCAAAAACATCTTGCTTATCATAGTATAATGCTGGTTATATTTTATTATGTTTCAATGTAAGAAAAGGAAAGTAAAATATTTATTTTACTGTTAACATTTGGAGTAGCCTGGAAACTTTGTAGGAAATGCTATAGTGCCATAATATAAAATGCCATAATACGTGCCTGAGACATAAATATGATCACAATTAAAAAAATCCAGATTTGCTTCATATTTTTTATGACACTTTAATTCATCATATATTTGCTTATTAAATGGATGGAAAGGTTATTAGGTTATTTTGAAAGTTTTTAAATCTGTTAATATTATCACTAAGGTTGTTTTTCAAATCATTTTATTGACATACATAATAAGGAATCAAAATTAAATTTTTATCTATAATTGAAATGATGTCAGAAATTTTTTAAGTTTATTGCAATAATTATAACTGACTGAGTTTGTAGGTCTTAAGTCAGTTACTTACAGTGCATTTGAGATATAAATTTGCCGTTTGTATCATTAATGTACTTGTTTATATCAAATTTTCTTCTGAAGAACAAAACTTCAATATCCACAGAATGCTTTTCGTAGTGAAATATATACCTTTTCATTCCAAAATGTCTGGAAGTAAAATAGCTTTCTGTTAAAAAAAAATATATATTTAATTGTTATGAGGACTACACTGTATTATAATTTACATTTGGGGGGGGGGCTGGGGAAGAACTGATTTACTTTTCTCTTGTGTCCTAAAGCATTTGGTGAGTTTAAGAAGATTCAAAATCTTATGTTTTAAAATTATATACTTTATGCAATATTCAAAACTGTTACCATATATTTTGTTAGTTAAATGCAATTGAATATAAGAATAGTTGGGGATGTATCTGCAGATTTTTTTATTGTATGACAGCTATACTGAACTCAAAACTTCAGTTTTGTATACAAATTTTAGTCATCTCTTCATTTACACCCATATTAAATTAGCACATTCATAATTGTAATATTTCCAATTATAACATCTCTTGACAGCTTGTATCTATTCCATTGATTTTTTAGTATTTAATTGATTTGCTATTAATTGTGGATAATTTGTTATCTGTATTTTTAATGCATAATTTGAGCAGAAACTGTGTTAATTTATAAGTTATGTGGTGTTAGATTTATTCTGTATGTAATTTAAAATTTCAGTGTATAGATTTAAACATAGCCATTTAAGAAAATATAAAGCATTCATTTCTTTGTATAGTATGCACAGACCTCATGAAACTTTTATCAACCTTGATGCAAACCATTTTTCATGTTCATATATGTCCTGCCATTACTCATTAAAAGTGTTTCATTGTGGTCTCATTGTTACTGCCATCATTTTAGAAACAGCAGTCTTCAAAGTTAACTTTGGTGCTGCCGTTATGAAAACAAAAAATAATTAGCGAAAGGGAAACCTAGGTTTCATTTTTATAAATCTGGGTTTCTCAGCTTCTGTATATATAATTTTTACCTATGAAGACATTGGAGAAATTTAAATCGTGGAAATTTTATTATTCACAGAAGAGCAAAGTTGTGAATGCCTGTACTTTTCTCCATTTGACAATTGTGCAAATTTCTGAGATATTTTTTTAATGATACATTGTATGAAATCTATAAATACACACATTACAAATGGTATAAAATTTGTAAAAATATTTCATTATTTTGTTTATACTTCATATTGAATATATTATATATTTCATTCCATTCGTTAATGAAAACATTTTAACTGAAAATGAATTCTATGCATTAATGCCTTCTAGAAGCAATAAACTGAATGTTGGTTTATTTGTGGAAAGTGTTTTTCAGTTTGAAAGCTTTACATCACTTAAAATTTCATGTGAAGATTTTTTTCATGGCTGATTCTTGAATACCTCTGTTTGGAATATATTGTTAGTATTTATTAATTTTTGTGGAATAATTTAGTATTGGGTGAAAATTATTCAAGTTCCTGCAGTGTAGTTTTATCGATTTTGGCAGCTAGTTTGGCAGCTTAAAATATAAAGACTTTTCATATTTTAATTTTTATCATTGCATGTGCTCAAGTATAAAACTACAATGCTTTAGTATCATGCTTATTGTTTCATCAAAATTTCAGAAAATAGTTTTTATGCACCTATTGATAGATTAAATTACTTTTCTTTGAAAATTTTATCATAACAATACAGAAGTATGCCACAAAATATTGATATAGTTCAGTTTGTATTATCTAGTTAATACTTTTTAAGTGAACAAAATTGCTTAAATTTTTTTAATGCTTTCCTTTGCAATATATATAATATGTGATTTATGTCCATTTTTAAAATAGCTAATGTTGTTCCATTATTTCATTTGTGCTACTGCTTTATAATGGGTTAGTTTTCCAATACTTTAAGACTAAAAAAAAAGTGTTCAAATTTAGTATTTTTGCTTTTAAAGTATTGGTTGAAACAATCAAGGGTAATATTTCTCAGGTGCTGTTTAACTTTCATAAATTCTAAATGCTGTGCTTCTGTGTTTTAATATTGCAAGTCTTCATATATAGTCATGTTTGTATTTTAGAAGCCTTATCTTGTAAACATTTCATCGAATTAATTATAATTAATTAATCCAATGATATAAATGTAGTACTTTGACATATATTTTTGTTGTAATCTTTAAATGTGCTAAAAGTGTTTCAACTACCTATTTTAATTTTTATTTTTCGGAGAGGTCTGATGTGTGTCGATGCTCTATGCCCTGACAATTGTTGGATTAGCAATGTAATATAACTTTTAAACTCATTTATGTTTCTGTAGAATTGTTTCAGTAGGAAACTAACCTTTCTTTTTCATTTATCCATTTTTTCATACCGCTAATATAGAACATATTGTCTTTGGACTTCGTATTTATTTCCATTTTTATAGAAGTTTCTTAAGCATGAACTGAAACCTGGAATTATTTAAAAGTTCTTTAAAATACTATGATTTTAACTATATCTTTAAAATGCTAAATATTTTAATTGATTTTCTTAATGTGATACATTATTCTTAAAATAAACTCTAAATTGCTTTTTAAATGGTAGAATATTTAATATGCAAATAGAACTTCCATATTAGTATAGATATAAAGTATTTTATTTAGGGAAAATCAGTAATGTTTAGTTACTGCTTTCTCTATTTGCAACATGAGAATAATTATTTCTCATGCCACAAATTCTATACTAATTAATGTAGAGCAAGCAAAACGCATTTGCTGCAGTAATGGAAAAAATGAAGACTAGTAAGCTTTCTTTCATGTTAGATGTGCACCATGAATAAGAAAATGTATAGTGAATTAATTATAAATTTTCTTTTAATTTCTTAATCATATAATAAACATAATTAGATTTTATTCAATTTAACATTCATTATGTTGATTGATTAAAGTTCCTATTGAGAGATTATAGCAAGTTTTTAATTTTGAGCTGTTTATCCTTAACTGCAGTGTTCATTTTTTTAATGCAGTTTAGTATGAATATTAACATGTAATGAACAGGAGAATGGCAGGCAATTTAGTTAAATTGGTAGTGGACCGGTTTTACAGTAAGAGTAAAAATTACATTTTGTTTGGATGCTTATTAAAATATACTTAATAAATGAAGTTTGAAAATTTATTTCTTCCACATTCAAAAATAACAATTTAAATCTTTTTCATTTCTTTAATCTGTATAAAGTATCTTAAATAAAAGATAAAGTAAGGAATACATAATTTATTTTCTGCTACTTAAAACCACAATTTTTACTTATTTTGCTTCCTACTTCATAAAGCATTACACTCACCTATGAAAAATACTAATACCTCAGGTTAAGGAAGTGTTCTACTCCAAATCTTAACTAGAACTGCAGGCTCACTTTCCACACATTTAAAACTGAAAATTGAATGCATTTTTGCAAAAATCTTTAACTTTGGTTTTAATATATTATGAGTCTATAATTGAAGACCTTGATTATGGTTATCAAATAATTACTTATTTGACAACTGTGGTCAAGGTTTGATTTAAATATAAGACTAATACATGTATATATTTTAATGTTATTAAACATTTTACTTTGACTAAAAAAACTACTCTTAAAGCTATTTTTAAACAATTATCAAGTAATTAATTCTCACTTCTTCAGGAGATGGTGATATCTTACATTTATTTTTAATACTCATCATGCAACTAGGGAAATTTCATTAAAAATTAAAAGTGATTATGATGCTAATAAAATGCACTTTTTAAGTTTTGCATTCTTTCTGCCAAATAAATGATCTAAATTACTTCAAAAATAACCGTTTTTTATTTATTATATTATTATTTAAACACATTTGAAACTTATGAATGATTAACACTGGTTCTTTTAATCACATTGATGTAGTGCAGCAAATTTGAGATAAGACTGCCATATTGTTTTAAGTTTTTTTTTTTTTAGTGTTTATAATTGAAAAAATATAAAGCCCTGCTGAAATGAAGTGTACAAACAATTATGAATAATGCAAATTGTGAATCAGGAGTAAATGTAAAGTGATTTTAAAAAGGACTTGTAATGCAAGCTTCATACAGATTATTTCTTTAATGCCTATTTTAAATAATCAAGTTCATTCATCTACAGTTTATTTATTATTTTTCCCCTTATTTTGTTATCTTGGGTCATTTGATAGATAAACAGATTAATTTTAAAATCTTTTTAATGCATTTTTAACATGAAATTATAGTTTATTTGAATATCAATATCTAATGAATTGATTTAAAAGCAAAACATATTCTACTCTGCATTTATTCAGTTAAAGTTGAATACATCATTAAATACAGGGTAGCTTATTGGGGGAAAAGCTTCTTTCCAGTATTAATATGGCAAGGTTGGCATCATCTTTCTAGGGTGATATGAAGGAAAGGAAAATAAAACTGGAACACTGCTTTATTTAGCAGCACAAAGTTGCCTGACGGACTGACAGCAGACAGAGCAAGGGGTTACAACCTCCTTTATCCTTCAATACCTCACAATAGTATTGAAGGTGGCTTACTTTTCCATGGGCCATGTTATATGTAGCAGAACTTTTTTGAATTTTTATCAACTAATAATGAAAGGTAACCAAACATGAACAAAGCAAACAAACTTAAAATTAATTCTGAAAACAATGAAAATTATATCGAAAACACAATTTTATATGAGATGATAATTGTCTTTCTCAAGGAGGAGATAAGAGAATTATCAGCAGACTGTCTTGGCTACTCCTTAAAAAAGAACACAAGAATTGAATTGTCAACTAATTAAAATTTTTGTTTTCAGGATTAACTTCCTGTTTTCTTTCTTAACCTTCCGTCATTTATTGAAAATTCAAAATATTTGTATTTTATTCACATTAATTGTTTAGCATTTTTTTGGTCTATATTAGTGTTAATAAAATATTCCCCAATTTTTCCTCTAAATATATTGCTGGTTTTCTCTAATATATATGTAACATAATTTCTTGTGGAAGGAGCATAGAATTATCTATCAAGTCTATTTTAAAACCTCAAGCTTTTTTAACCCTCCAAGGGTTATGGCCATAAAATTCTGTATCAAAGAATGGCTTTGATTTGCTTGAAAATTTCTGTTATACTCTGATCTGTTTGATTTCGAGTTGGAAGGAGAGGATTAAGGTACAAAGTGAAAAGATCCTTTTTGAATTATGATCAAGAAAATACCGTTTATTCGTGATATTTTAGGGAACTATGAAATTTCAGGGCCAAACCCGTAATACTTGGAGGGTTAAAAAAAGTATCTGAATTTACACTTCTAAAAAGTAAGTTTTATTTGTTTATAAATGATAACTGCTACATTAATAGTTATATGCTTTGCCCTTTGTTATTAATTTCTTTGAAGATAATTATAATTTTTAATATTTCGTTAGAATAAAGCATATTGTCTGTCTTGTCATAAGAACTACTGTAATGCATCTAACTGGAGGTAACTGGTAATAAGTAGGCTTTACACATTTTAGGTAGAGGTGAGTCAGGAACAAGTGTTATTGTTATAACAAATGTTGGTTGGAGAAGGGACAAAACAATGCCGTAAAGATATTTTTACTTAAAGCAAAATTTCATTTTGTTTTTTCTTAATAAATAAATTCAGTTATATTTTTAATATATAAATGTAACTGTCCCTCATTCTTTTAACCCCCCTACAAGATAATTTGCTTTTATGCATTTTAGTATGCCATTACCTTATGCATAAGTGCTGGATTTTAAACTTAATGCTAAATACTTTGCAAGCTAAGAATCATTTATCAGTTCAAATGTTCTATCATAATCTAATCTTCAAAAATTAATTTTAAATGCTACAGCTTTTCAATAAATTATTTTCTAGGAATTCAGATACTTCTCTGCCTAACATAGGAAGCACAGTTATTGGGCATATAGCACAAAACTGAGTTATATTTTATAGAATGTGATGAGTACTATATTTAAAGCTGAAATTTAAACTAATACTCAATAATGTGTTTCTTTCATACTTCATTACAATTTTTTAAGAACTTAACAGATAAACACTTGTGTTTGATATGTATGTATGTATGTATATTTTTTTGACTCATTCTGATATATAGACATTTACTGGACTAAGAAAGGTGAAATATTTGTTTCAATTTTGCTGTTTTGGTCAATGATAGTACAAAGATTATATAAATTTCTGCTTTTGTATAATTCTGCTACTCATTGCTGGTATGTATATTTATTTGTCTTAAGAATAACCTGAGAATTTTTTAATCAAAATTTAAAATGGGTGGAAAATAATGAACACAGTAATTTCTGCATTGTTAAATCACCTTGCATTTCACTTGAATCATTCATGTAATTTTTTACTTCTTGATTACAAGATCTTTGGATTTGTACCTGAAATCTTTTTTGAACGTCTTTCGCATAGACAGTGCTTTCATCAAGTAAAGATCATGATTATTTTATTCCTAGAACAATGTTGTCCCGTCCGTTTGGCACTTTAGATAAAACATGCTGTCTATATAGTTGCTGTGATAAATCAATTCATTACCAATGTTTACTTTGTGTTGTCAGATATCTAGAATCTAGGATTCCTGCAATAATATTCTGATGTATTTGTTCTGCAAGTTTTTTTTTTTTTTAATGTAGTCATTGAAAAATGTAAAACAATATTGTAGATGAATGAAGATATTTATGTTTTCTCAGGTGTATAACAGTGAATCCCTCCCCTCTTGGTGGATGTAAATATTATGCTGTTATATTCGTTGTGTCGTAATTGGAATTTTTTTCCCTTCAATTTTCAAGAGAATTCTTAAGGTCATCCTTGTAGGGAGTGGTTGAAAATATGTGTTTCCGTTTTGCATTTCACATATATTTTGAAGCACAGTTTTTTATAAAATTAAATTTGTCTGATGCATTTGAGAATATAATTAAAGCTATATTTTGGTTTAAAGTTCTCAGTACTTCATCTCATTAATGGTATTGTTTTACATTTGTAATATGTGTCATTTTATTGAAATAGAAATCATTATTGTAGGTGACGCACGGGCAAATTGAAACTGATAATTTACCCACCGATTATTTTTCTAGCATCATGGGCTTTTGAAATCTCATTATCATAAGAATGGTCTGCTAACTGAATTAAGTAATTTTTTTGCAATTAGCAATGTATTTTGTTATACTTAAAATAAATTTTAAGTCCTATTCAAATTGCAGAATCTGTCTGGTAAATGTAGTAATTTGAAAAATTGTGTATTTTTGCAATACGAAATATGTTGTGCTCTTTAATGATTAAATTATTTCACTGTTCCTTATGTTTTATGGAAATACTTGTTATTTTCTTAAAATATAAAGAGAAATTGTGAATTTTAATAAGACTTTGAGACAATCCAGTGATTCACATATTTCCTCTAAATAGTGCATTCCTGCAACTGTTTTTTGTGGTGGTCTAGCAACATTTGAAAAGGCCTAAGTATACCGTAGTTTATAGTTGGCTTTTAATGTGAATAGATAATGAGGATGTTTGTTAAGGTTCTAAAGCTTAAGATAAAATGCATATTTGGAAATCCATCCATAAATGCAAGTGTGGAAGGTTTAACAATATTGTGACTTTATTTTTAAAAAAAGAATTAGAATAAGAAAATATTTGTTTCTTGAGCTGCATAACTAGTAACTGAGTAAAAATAAATATTTAGAAATCATGCAAAGTTACTTTTCTTAAAAGCTTTTTTGATGTCATGTTACTTCAAATATCTTGTGCATTATTTAGTGAATAAAGGTATTCTTGGTTTACATTGCCACAAATTGTTATACTGACCTAATTTTAGAAGTTAATAATTATGGTGCTTAATAACTATGCAATTTTGTGTTTTTTTGGATGATTGTAATTATATTTCTGTAATGAATTCATACAAATTTACAGTACTGATAAGTTCAGTATTAAAAAAATAATTTAATTATTTCTATTAATATTTGCTCTTTCTTCCACTTTCTGGATCTTCAAAATTTTTTATGTATCATTTTATATGTAGTATTTAATGTCGTTACAATTTGCAGTGTGAAATTTTCCAAAGCTTTCTGTCATTTGACAGATACATTTGTTGTAATTGTTAGAATTTATTTAAATGTTTTATGAGACTGTAATTCTGTCTAAATGTCATTAAATATTGAGATCAAAATTTAAAACGTTGTGCATAGATAAAGCAATAATTTAGGAAAGTTATGCATGTGTAAAAGATCCAGTTTATTAAATGCATAGAGAAAGCTTGGATATAGATTTCAGTGTGAAATAGTAAATGTTAGCATGAGATAAAAGAAAAGAATTCAGTGCTACCATTATTTAGGAAATTAGCATTAACCCAGCCTAGCTTACATGTTTAAAAGGGAAAGAAACTTCTTCCGTGTTATATAGATGATGCATTTTGCTAGGCCTGTATAGGTTTGAATAGATCCTTTAACTGAAAATGTGTAGAAAAAGACTATTGTATTAGTTGACATTAGCTTGTTGATGTATAGTAATGTTTAACTCTGTTACAACTAATGTTGGTGATTAGAGATTAAAACTTAAATCAGTATACATTTTAAGACATATAGATGGCATGTTAAATAAAATGTTTGCAAATAAAAAAAAGAATATTTCCAGGGCTCCCTTAAAGAGATAAGTGATACAAAGATGTATATATTTCTTTCTTATATGAAAATTACCATCATATGTATTTTAAAACCTTTTTAAAAATAATTTCATTTACTTAAATAATTTGGTTTATATTTATAGGTTAAAAGACTGCTGTTTTTTTAATACCATTGCTTTAAATTGGAGGGCCCTCTTGTATCTTGAAATGTATAATTAATGTTCAGTTAAATTTAAGGTCTATGCTAAATGTTAAATCTTCTGAAATAATTTGAATAAATATTATTTTATTATTCTTGTTAATTCTATGATAACTGTTAAATGTATGAAATTAAACTATGTGTAAATTTTAAAATATAAGAGCTTAGAAATATAAAACAGACGAAAGACTTCCTATATGTATGATGTGAGGTTATGATGGATTTTTTTAAAAATTGTTTTTCAGATTGCAAATAAAACACAAAGTATATAGTGTGCTTGTTGAACAAAATGTGAGATGTATTCAGTTTAACTAGGAAAAACCAAAAAATTTTGTTTTGGTAAAATTTGTCATTTTATTGTTTAAAAATTAATAATTGAAAAATACAGGGAAAAACTATTTCATGTCTATAAAGAAGCAAGCACAGTTTTATTTTGTGTTTTCTTATTGTATGTGTGTGTATAGAATTTGAAGAGTACAAACATGCCATCCAGAAATTTATTTTGTAAACAAACATGTTGAGCATTGTGTTATTCTAGTTTTTACCTTTCAAATTGGAAGACTGTATATTTCGCAGTTATCAGTTTGTCCAATAAAACTCTGTGATGTGAAAAAGGTGACAGTTTATTTTGTAATGCAAATTATCTAGACTGATAAATCTAGATATGTCAGTTATCCCCACAACTTCCTCTATTAAATATTTGATATATGTAAAGCCGTTTAAAAGTAGTTTTAACCTTTTAAACATGGCAGTTTAATTTAACAATAAAATAATTTTAATTTATCACATTGAGAGTAATTAAGCAAAAATTCCTTTCTATGTAATAAATTTTTGAAATAGTAATTAATTTTTTTCAGTGGTGGCTTAGCTAACTGTACTACAAAAATAAATCGAACCAACTCTACATGTTTATGAATTTTGAAATGCTGCCTTGGTAAAAGGTTAAGATTTATTTGTATCAAATTTTTTTGCAACTGTATTTTCTTTTTGCATTTAGACTTAAAACAGATTCAACAAGAATGTTTTAAATAGAAATTTTTATTGGGAGTCTGCATAAATGTGTCACATTCAAGAATTTTATTGCAAAGACCTTCAAAGAAGTATTAGTTTCTTTTATCTTATAGATGTTAAGCCTAAAGATTGAGAGTTATTGCCTATTTAAAGAGTATTGTATAGAAACCTGTTTTTTTATTATTATTATTGTTAGTACTGAATTGCAGAAACACCATTTCTGTAATGTTTCGAGTTATTTAGGGGCTGTATGATAATTTTGCTGTCTTTAAAAGCAGCAATGTTTGCTGTAGCTGGTAGAGGTTGCTAGCATTTGTATATAGTTTAGCATGTTCATTCCCTTGTGAGGGAAAATGTATCATGTGCCACTGACTCATTGCCAGCCAATAAACTGTTCAGTGGGTTTGAAGCTGACTTGATTATTGTGTGTAAAATATAAGTTCACATTTAGCATAAATGCAAGCAATAACAAAATCAATAAATTTCCTTAACTATATATATCATGTATATTAAATATTTTCATTTATTTTCATTGAACCATCTAAAACAAATTATTGGTATCAAGCTCCTCCATGTATTTTTAGTCATTAAATTTCACAATACAGTACAAAGGTCTTAAATCCAAACTCGTCGGGATTTTGGCGATTCCGGATTATAGATAATCAATTTAAATCTGGTAAGATGGCATGCAGAAATTATAAAAATAAAAATATGAAACTGTAATTTATGAAATAAAGAGCAATTATGATCTAAAGGGTATCAAAATTTACCCCAAAAAAAAAAAAAAAAAAAAGAGGCGTAATATTTATTTGTTTACTTTATTAAACATTTCTTTTAATGTAAGCTGTTTAAGTTGCTTCGTTTTATGTGCTAATACTTTCTCTTCTTCTAAAAACAGTCATAATTTCTTGTTCAGTTACAAAGTTTCGCTGTTCAAGTCCTGTAATTGCTGTGCCGAGAATACCAACTAACTTGTCAATCGAAATTTTTCGTTTTCCCTAACCTCTCTGTCACTTTCTTTATGCCTTTATCCATTTTTTGCAGCAATGCCACTTTTTCCTTTGGCAGCTTCAGAATCGGAAACTCTTTTTGACATAATCATAAATTCAAGCTTACTTTTTATAAAATTGCTGTAACAGTCTGCAAAAAATAATAAGCCGGATCCAATTAGAAGATTAAGGAACAACACAATCTGCAACATTAACTGAATTAGATAATTTTAGCCTAGCCTATACCATCCGTTATACATTAAACGTGCATGCATAAATGTATTATGTGCATGCGTGAAGGTGTTATGCACATGTGTAAGCGCTACACATGCACAGAAAGTTTGTAGCTTTGATGTCCGGTTTGATCATTCCAGATTATGGACTTCGTACTGTATTAATATTCTTTTCTATAAATATTAGCTTTTCTCAAAAGTTAGATTATATAAACTTGTTAGTTTATTCGACATTCCTCCTTACATGAAGTTTCCCTGTGTGCCCGTGACTGAAGTGCTGAATGTTATTCTGCTCGAATGCGTTTTGCTGTTAAGCCTAACATGCAGAAGTAATTCCTATATAATCTTTTTTGATTAAAATATTTAAATTCTTGCATATGTTTTTTATAATATAAACAGAAAAATTTTAATTTACAATAAAAATTCAGATTAAGTTAATGAGCAGTATTAATAATAATGATTATATTTACATGTTTAAATTATTTCCAAACAAAAATGAAATAAAAGGCATAAGAATTTAAATATCAGTGTCTATTATACACTCACTTCCAAAATTTAAGCATGGAGAGGAAAATGCTAATTTCCGGAAGCCAATCAGAATTGAAGTGGATGCCAATTCGCTGCAGAGGTAGATGGAAGTATGCAAATGTGTTACATATCAGCCAATCACGCTTTCATGTCAAGAAATGTGCAAAAAAGGCAGTCTTATAAAAAGAAGCTTTATGAAGGGTTACAGAAGTTGATTGTAAGTAAGTGCTGATAGAAGGTGTTTAAAACTTTCGTACAATTTGTTTTCAAGACACGTGTTTCTATGACTTCCAGAAGACGAATGAAAGATTCTGAGTACTGGTGTGTTGTGGGGTGCATTGAAGCAGGACAGTCGCTCACAGATGTTGCTCTTTTCTTTGGCGTTCATCATTCTGTAATTTCATGTTTATGGAAACAATTCCAAACCACACAGACAGTTGCCAAAGTGTTACAACCTCCGCGGAAGATCGATATACTGCTATTGTAGCCAAGCGGAATCACAAAGCAACCTCCACACATGTTACATCTATGGTTACAGCGTCCATTGGTAAGGCGATATCTGCAGCTACTGTATGCCCGGGTAACTTAAGTTTGTGTTCCTCTATTCGTCCAATCAAGAGGGGCACGATTACAGTGGTGCTGGGAACTCACTTTATACATAATTCTTATTAGGAGATAGTATTTTATGTGTAATTATTTCCTAACATAAATATAAAGTATAGAACAAGCAAAAACATTTATGAATACAAAAAACTTAAGTGATGCCATTCACAAAAAGGTAATGTCCCCCCACCCTGGTCAGCCTCCAGAGGGATGACTAGCTGCACAGGTCAGTTAATGGTGTGTCCATTGGTGCGCAGAACACAAGTACGGACTTTCTTGTCGCAGCCAAGGATTAGCTCCTCAACACGGGCCTTTTTCCAGGTGTGGCGAGGTCTAACATCTTCTTGTAGTAGGACAATGTCCCCTTTCCAGATTTTATTTGTTTCAGATGGATTCCGCACTTGATGAAATATACGCAAGTCCATCAGATATTCCTTTTGCCATCTTTTCCAAAAGCAGTCCATCAAATGTTAACGATTCTTCCACATACAATTTAAATTTGTTTCAGGATTTGTGGGGCTGGAAGGAATAGTAGTTAATTTCTTTCCTGTGAGGAAGTGCAAGGGTGTTAAAGCTTCCTCAGAGTCATCTTTTATTCTGTATTCATGGACAATCGGTCTACTGTTAAGAGCGGCTTCAATATCACATAATACAATGATCAGACCAGCGTCATCCAAAAGAGCCTTACCTAATGTTTTTCGAAGGCATCGCTAAATTGAGGCTATCATTCTTTCCCATCAAGCTGCTCGTGGGGCGATGAATTTCCATTTGATGTTCTGGTTTGCATAAAACTGTTGTGTCTTGGCAGAGGATATAGTATCCCAGAATAATTTCAGCTCTTTGTCCGTAGTGCAGAACGTGGCATTATCAGTGTACAACTATATGAGAAAGTGAATGTCTAGAGACAAAACATTGTAAAGCAAGTAGGAAGACGTCAGTACGCAGATCGGAAACTAATTCTAAGTGCATAGCTCGAGTTGTAGCTCATGTAAAGATAACAATGTAAGCTTTTGTAATGGAGTTATAATTTTTTATGTAGAGTGGTCCAACAAAATCAATTCCGGTAGTTCCGAAAGGAGATGACTTTTGAATTCGCTCAGCTGGTAATGGAGCTTCTATCTGTTCACTTCTCTTTTGTTTCAGTACTTTACATGGAAGGCAAGTCTTTATCACCCTTTTAATGGCTTGCCTTGCTTTTAATATCCAATATTCTGAGCAAAGCTGAGAAAGTACAATCCAAACACCAAGATGATGCATTCGTAAATGTGTTTGGCGTATCAGTAGGCTTGTAAAATGATGAGAACCTTCCAATAATATGCGATGTTTTTCAGCATAAGCTAAATCACAAAATTGTAGTCGACCACCAAGAAGTATAACATTGTTCTTGGAAAAAAGGGTTAAATTCTTTTATCCTTGATTTCTTAGGGAGTGATTTTCCTGTCAACACAGCTTCATATTCTGAAGGAAAGGATTCTTTCTGATCCGTATGTATCCAATAAATACGAGCTTGATTGAGTTCTGTGGCATGTAACTCACCCACTAACTTTTCTTGTTTCCTACATTTGTGAATAAAGCGAAGAATCTAAGATGTTACACATAACAATTCAAAGTAAGAACTGTAGTTTCTAGCTTTTATAATTGGTTGAGTAGATACGATGTGAAGGGTCTGAACTTTTCCTTTCTTTGCTTCCAAGTTATGACTGTAATCTTTAGAAATAGTATCAGAATGAGGCCAATATTCTGGAGATTTGACTAACCATGGAGGGCCATTCCACCAAATTTACAGGTTTTTTAGTGTTGATGGTGAAACACCTTGAGAAAGTCTGTCAACTGGATTGTCTTTGCCAGGGCAATGTCTCCATTGTGAAGGATTAGTGTAGAAATAATTTCTGTTACTCTGTTGCTAACAAAAGTTTTCCACTTGTTGGGGTCACTATGTATCCACCCTAAGATAACTTGAGAATCAATGTTGCATTTGACGAACAGATGTTCGTTTCAGCACAGAAATATCACAACAATCGTGCTCCCATCAGGGCCGCCAAGAGAACCAAATTTCTTTATAGATGCTAATTTGTTATGACTACACACTAAATTCACATTTGATTGGTCACCTTTAAAGATAACAATGTACAGAACGGAACCATAGGCACGTTCAGATGCGTCACAAAACACATGAATAGCAAAAGGAACATGTGATGAAATGTGTATGTAACGAGGAATTTGAAGGGAGTAAATGTCATCACGTTCTTTTTACAGCTGCATACCATAAAGTTGATAAATTAGCAGGTAGTAATTCATCTCACTTGATTCCAAGAATCCATGCTTCTTGGAATAAGATTTTCCCTAGGATAGTAAATGGTGAAAAATGTCCTAAGGGATCATAAAAATTAGCAATGCAGCGGAGTAACCATCTCTTTGTAAGTGGTTTGTCTGTAGAAACACAAAGGGAAGTTTTGAATGCATTCTTCAAAGTATCAGAATTTGTATTTCAGCCAATACCTAAGACGTTTTGTGAGATTCTTCCTGTGTTTGTAGTACATCTTTGAGTTTTAAAGAGTTTGTAGCCCATTTTTCCATAGGCAATTGCATTAAAGCCCTCAAATCCTTGATCTCGTGATATAGCATTATAATGCGTGATTCAGTTTCCATACTAGCAAGAAAGTCATCCATATAGAGATGTTTATCTATCATTGGTGCAGCAATTGGAAATTCTGCGATATGTTTTGCAGCCAATTCTCATGTGGCAGCACATAGTAAAAATGGACTGCAAGTAAGGCCAAATGGTAAACGAGTGAATCTGTAAACAGTTATTTCATCTGTTAAAGTAGTAGGTTGAGATGAATCAGATTTTAATTTGTAGCACAAAAATTTTGACGTCCCCATCTTTTTTATGTAGTAACAACTGTAAGAAAGCTTGCTTACCATCACATGTAACAGTAAATTCATACAATCGAAATCTTAGTAGACAACCAATAGTTTCAGGAAGAAGATTCGGGCCAACTTCCAAGGTATCGTTCAGTGAAGGCATTCAAGGAAGCGTCAAACACAATTCTCCA